ATATATAATCAGTAAGCTAGCTAACAGACCAATGAATTATTTTGCTTTGCAAATGTCGCTAACATTTATTACATAATATAAGAAGTTTGAGAATTTTGTAATGATTAGCTTAAAGTCTTTCCAGTTACTCACTCTTATTTATAACCTTTAATAATTTGCATTGTCTTTCTACTTTAGTTTTCACAGTCTGTTTTTTCCTATTCTTTAAAAAAAAATTCTGTGAACACTTCAAATTGTGTAGTAAAGTTACCACTGTTCTTTTAATAAGTAACATATTAATTGTAATTTGGAGCAGCAGTTTTATAGTAAAGGGAGGTTCTTGTGAAACCCCTTGATTCTGGGAAGATATAATGTTCACTCTCTTGCTTATGAGGGAGGGCCAAAAAAAGAAAGGAGCATGAATGCTATGCGGTTCTGCATCATTAATACTGGCAATGGCTTCTTTTCCCTCCTGCCCTCTCACTTCTTTTTTTCTGACCCGGATCTGTGTTTGTTGCCTATTCTTGCACAGAATTCAGTCAGAGGCTTTGTCAGCCTGACAAATACACAAAGAAAGTAAATTTTAGAAGTTCTCACAAAATATAAATAGAAGAATCAATCTTTAATGGAAGCTGAGCTTTATTTAAAGCACCACAACCTGTACAAAGTCAGTTTTTCCCCTCTGAGATCATAATATGGCAGTAATAGGAATCCTTCTGTTAGATTGTCAGGCTCATTGGAATGAAACACAAACACTCTACAGCCAGATGCTAACTGGATCTACATAATAACATTGGCATTTACTTGAATGTAATGACTTTGACACATTTATAGTTCAGTAATTGTAACAGTAAAAAATGAACCAAGTTAACAACAGGATGTTTTTATTTACTTTGCAATTTTAAGTAACTCTTTAAATGCTTGTTAAGATTCTAATTGTTGGCATTAATATTTTGACAGACTTTATACTTTAGAAGGAAAACTTGTCGAAAGTGGGGCAGAGTTGGAGAATGGGCAGTTTTATGTGGCTGTTGGCAGAGATAAGTTTAAGAAATTGCCTTACAGTGAATTACTTTTTGACAAGTCAACAATGAGAAGGCCTTATGGGTAAGTCTTTCTCCTTATTCACTCCTCATGTTCTAATTATCACTTGAAACAGCATTCGGTTTTGTGGTTCAGTTGAGTTTCAAACGGAGTCTTTTCTTACTAAGATTGATATCTGCAAAATAGCCTATTATAATCTAAGGGATTTCATCTCTTTTTTGGTGAGAATGGCTAGTTTAAGACTCCTTGAATATAAATCCCATTATTTTACCACTTCAGAATTTATGAAAGATTGTATAGTATTTTTTTTTTTTTTTTACCATGAACAACATCTGTAATAAATATAAAGATTTATTTTTGTGAAGGGGATACAGAGCAGTGAGCTTCCATAGGACAAGTATTATTAGAAGTTTTAATAATGTCTAAACAGTCTAGCTAGACCAAATTATTTTTCAGTTGGTTCAGATAGAAATGTCCAAAACTATTCAACCAAACATCCTATTTTACACCTCTTTTAATAACTGTAAAATTTAAAAACAATGTAATTCCATGTGTGCAAATAAATAGACTGGGTGTATATTTAATAATGCAGTATTTTAAATGTTACAATTTTAAGTACACAAGCTAAAGTGAACACTTTTTCTCTCTGAAATGTCGTGTATTTAGGAAAGATGCTTTATTTCAGCCTGGTCGTTCATTGCAGAGGCATGACAAGGAGCCCTGGTCCCTGACAGGTGCAGGGACTCCTGGGCTTGCTCTTGGTGCCCTGGGATCCATCTCTGCTGCATTTCACAGAGAGCCTATGGCTGCTGTGATATTGGAAACCAACGTTTTTGTGCTAGGGTGGGTGCTACTTGTCGAGTTAGATCAGAATGTCACCAATCTGTTTTCCATTAATTTAGTTTTGTTTTTTTTTTTAGATAATATTTTATTGAGCTATTGGTGAAAGTTTACACAGTAAGTTAGGTTCCCATTTGACAATATCCACACAAATTGTTCAGTGACATTAGTTACATTTATCACAATGTGTCAACATTCCTCTTAATTGTGTTCTGTTTGTTCCCGTTCCAGTACTCCAGTTTTCCTGCCCCCTTATCTTCTCGTCTTTGCTTTTGAGTAAGGTTGAAATTTTGGACTCATACTGATCGTTTTTAAGTAGGCCACTGATCTTATGGGGTAATATCCTTTATTTTGTGTGCCACTATGCTATTTCACTAAAAGGTGATCTTGGGATAGGCTCGAGTCTAGGCTTAATGAGTGTCTCAGGGCAGTAGTCTCAGGGAGTCCTCTGTTCTCTACTGTTCCAGTTTGTCTGGCTTTTTTTTTTTTTTTTTTAAATATGAACTTGAGTTCTGCTCCGTACTTTTCGTCCATTCTATCCTGGATCAACTCTTATGACCATGGTCAGAATAGTCAGTGATGGTAGCCGGGCACCATCTAGTTCTTTTGGTCTCAGGGTAGATGAGATTGTAGCCAGTGTAGACTTGTTTCTTCTCTGCGCTTTTGGTTACTTTCTTACTGTTTTGCTCCTGATGAGTTGAGACCTGTAGTTGTGTCTTAGATGGCTGTTTGCAAGCTTTTAAGACCTCAGACGCTACTCATTTCACTAGGATGCAGATCATGATTTTTGTGGACTATGTTATGCCAGTTGACTGAGTTGTCCCGTGAGACTCTGGTTCTAAGCCTTCAAACCCAGAAAACCAGTCTTAGAAGGTGTAAGGTTATGTCTGAAGAGTATCCGTATTTGTGTTTTCAATGAATATATGTGCCTGTACCCAAATATTTGTATTTACATGTACCTATAGATATTTCTGGAAATCCTGGTGGCGTAGTGGTTAAGTGCTACAGCTGCTAACCAAAAGGTCAGCAGTTCAAATCCACCAGGTGCTCCTTGGAAACTCTATGGAGCAGTTCTACTCTGTCCTGTAAGGTCGCTATGAGGTGGAATCGACTTGATGGCAACGGTTTTTTTTTTTAATAGATACGTCTGGAAACCCTGGTGGAGTAGTGGTTAAGTGCTATGGCTGCTAACCAAAAGGTCGGCAGTTCAAATCCACCAGGTGCTACTTGGGAATCTTATGGGACAGTTCTACTCTGTCCTATAGGGTCATTATGAATTGGAATTGACTCGACAGCAACGGGTTTGGTTTTTTTTTTTTGTTTATAGATACTTCTGTCTGTTCTCACCTATGCACACACCTATACCTACCCATATACCAATTTGCCTATACCCATCCATGTGTACTCAAGCACTCATCTTTACTGTGGTTGTGCTGTACTCACTACATCCACATTTGGTGCCACTTTTCCCATCACCAAAAATAACAAGTCTCTGTGGTCTAAAGTGTACTTTCCCCTCCCCCTCTCCTCTCCCTGGTAAACAGCAATGCACACTGGTCTCTCTATATTTATCTACTCTTCTTATAAAAGAGGGATCATACAATATTTGTCCTTATATGCTTGACTTATTTCACTTATCATTATGCCCTCCAGGTCCATCCATGTTATAATGTGTTTTGTGGACTCATCATTGTTCTTTATGGTTGTGTAGTATTCCAATGTATATATGTACCACCATTTGCTTCTCCATTCATCCATTGATGGGCACGTCTGTGGTGTACATTTACTTGCTATTGTGAATAAAGCAGCAATGAACATAGGTGTACATATATCCATTTGTGTCATTATTTTTAGGTCTCTAGGGTATATATGGAGGCCTGGTGGTACAGTGGTTAAGAGCGCGGCTGCTAACCAGCAAAAGGTTGGCAGTCCAAATCCACCAGCTGCTCCTTGGAAACCCATGGGGTGGTTCAACTTTGTCCTATAGGGTTGCTATAAGTCAAAATCACCTCGACGCCAGTCGGCTTAGGGTATATACCTAGGAGTAGGATTGCTGGATCATAAGGTAGTTCTATTTCTAGTTTTTTCAGAAAATGTCATATCGTTTTCCACAGTGGTTGTACCATTTTACAGTCTTACCAGTAATGGATCCTTGCCAACATTTGTTGTTATCTGTTTTTTTTAAAATCAGTTGCATTTTAGCTGGGATAATATGTATCTCTCTAATGGCTAATGATCGTGAACATCTTTTCATATGTTTGTTGGATGCTTGGATGTCCTCTTTGGTGAAAGTTCTATTCATGTCCTTTGCCCATTTTGTGATTAGGTTGTTTGTCTTTTTGTTGTTGAGTTGTTGCAGTTTTATATAGATTTTACAGATTAGACCCTTATTGGATAAGTCATTTCTGAAGATTTTTTCCCAGTCTGTAAGTTGTCTATTTACTCTTTTGATAAAGTCTTTGGATGAACATAAGTTTTTAATTGTTATGAGGTCTCATTTATCTATTTTGTCTTCTTTTATTCATGCATTTGTTGTAATGTTTGTTACCCTATTTTTACAAAAGACTGGGTCCCATAGTTTTCTCCCTATGTTGTATTCCAGGAATTTTATGGTTTTAGGTTTAACATTTAGGTCTTTGATCCATTTTGAGTTAGCTTTTGTGTATGGTGTGAGGTATGAGTCCTGTTTAATTATTCTGCAGGTGGATATCCAGTTTTGCCAGCACTATGTAGTAGAGAGACTGTTTCTGCGCCACCCACTGAATGGACTTTGACCCCTTGTCAAAAATCAGTTGTCCATAGATGACTGGGTTTAATTCTGAGTACTCAGTTCTGTTCCACTGGTCTATATGTCTGTCGTTGACCCACTATCGGGCTTTTTTGATTACAGTGGCTGTATAGTATGTTTGAATATTAGGGACTGTGAGGCCTTCTGCTTTGTTCTTTTTTTTCAGTATTGCTTTGGCTATTCAAGGTTTCTTTCCTTTCCATATAAAGCTGATCATTAGTTTTTCCATGTCAGTAAAAAAATGCTTTTGGGGTTTTCATCAAGATTATATTGTATCTGTAGATCACTTTAGGTAGGATTGACATTTTCACTAATAAGTCTTTTTAATCCATGAGCAGAGAATGTCTTTCCAGTTTTTGTACATCTCTTAATCTCCTGTACTAGAGTTTTATAATTTTCATTGTGTAAATCTTTTATGTCCTAGGTGTTTTATCAATTTGGGGCTCTTGTAAATGGTATTGTTCTCTTGATTTTTTTTTTCAGAGTTGTCTTTGTTAGTGTAGAGGAACCCAGCTGATTTTTGTGTGTTGATCTTGTACCCAGCAATGTTGCTAAATCCTTCAATTATTTCCATCAATTTTCCTGTGGCATCTTTAGGGCCTTTTATGTGTTGGATCATGTCATCTGCAGATAGAGATAGTTTTATGTCTTCTTTTCCAGATTGGATATCTTTTATTTCTCTTTCTTGTCTTATTGCTCTGGCAGTACAATGTTGAATAAGAGTGATGATAATGGCCATCATTGTCTCATTTCCATTCTCAAATGGAAGGCTCTCCGCCTTTCTCCATGGAGTATAATGTTGGCTGTTGGTTTTGCATATATGCCCTTAATTATGTTGAGAAATTTCCCTTCTATGCCTATTTTGCTGAGAGTTTTTATCAGGAAAGGTGTTGAATTTTATTGAATCCCTTTTCTGTATCAGTTGACATGATTATATGGTTCTTTTATTTTGCATATTGATTTTCTAATGTTGAACCACCCTTGTAGTCCTTGTATGAATCCCACTTGATCATGGTGTATGAGTTTTTGATATGTTACTGAAGTCTGTTGGCTTGAATTTTGTTGAAAATTTTTACATCTATGTTCATAAGGGCTATTGGTCTGTAATTTGCTTTTTTTGTGATGTTTTTGCCTGGTACGGTATCAGAGTTATGCTGGCTTCATAGAAAGAATTTGGTGGTGTTCCTTCCTCTAAAATTCCTTCCTCCTATAGTTTTGAAGAGATTGAGCAGGATTGTTGTCAACTCTTCTCTGAATGTTTGGTAGAATTCTGCAGTGTAACCATCTGGTCCTGGGCTTTTTTTGTTGTTGTTGGCAGTTGTTTTGAGGACATCTTCAATCTCTTCTTTTGTAATGTGTCCTGTTAAACTTTCTACCTGTTTGTGTTAGTTTGGGTAGATAATATGTTTCTAGGAATTTGTCCATTTCATCTAGGTTTTCAAATTTGTTGGAGTGCAATTTTTCATAGCAATTGGTTATGGTCTTTATCTCTGTTGGATTGGTTGTAATATTACCAGTTTCATTTCTTAATTTAGTTATTTGCCTCTTCTGGTTTTTTACTTTTGTCAATCTAGCCAGTGGTTTGTCTATTTTCTTGATTCTTTCAAAGTACCAACTTCTGGTTTTATTGATTCTTTCTATTGTTTTTTTGTTTTCTATTGCATTTATTTCTGTGCTGATCTTTATTATTTCCTTTTTTCTGGTAGCTTTTGGCTTCTTTTACCTTCCTTTTCTATTTATTTAAGTTGTTGGTCTAAGTTAATGATTTGGATCTTTTTTTTTAATGTAGGCATTTACTGCTATGAGTTTCCCTGTGAGTACTGCTTTTACTGTGTCCCAAAGGTTTTGATATGTGTGTTTTCATTTTTGTTTGATTCTAGGAATTTTAAATTTCAACTTTGATTTCTTCTATGACCCGATAGTTTTTGAGTAGTGTGTTATTTATTTTCTACATATTCATTCCCCTCCCCCTTTTTTTTCCTGTTGTTGATTTCTAGCCTTATACTGTTACGGTCAGAGAAGATGCTTTGTATGATTTCAGTCTTTTTAAATTTATTAAGAGTTGTTTTGTGTCCTAGCATATGGTCTATTTTGGAAAAATGATCATATGGCTAGAGAAGAATATCTATTGTTCTGATGCTGGGTGGAGTGGTCTGTATATGTCCATTAGGTCCAATTGGCTTATGGTTTTATTTAATTCTCAATGTATTTGGTGATTTTCTTTTCAGATGTCCTGTCTATAATTTAAAGTGTTGTGTTGAAGTCCCCTACTATTACTGTGGGATTGTATATTTCTACTTTCATATCAGTCAGTATTTGTTTCATGTATTTTGGTGCATTTCTGTTAAACCAAACCCATTGCCATTGAGTTGATTCTGACTCATAGAGGCTCTACAGGACAGAGCAGAAGTGCCCCATGGGGTTTCCAAGGAGGGGCTGGTCAATTCAAACTGCTGACCTTTTGGTTAGCAGCCTTAGCACTTAACCACTGTGCCACCAGGGCTCCTGTTAGGTGCAAATATACTTATAATTGTTATGTCTTCTTGCTGGATTGACCCTTTTATTGTTATTTAATGCTTTTCTTTATCTCTTGTAACAGATTTTGATTTAAAGTCTATTTTATCTGATATGAGTATGGTCACCTTTGCTATTTTTTGTTTACTGGCTGCATGGAGTATTTTTCTCATTCCTTTTATTTTCAGTCTATTAGTGTCCTTATGTCTAAGGTGTGTTTCTTTTAGACAGCAAAATGATGGATCATGTTTTTTTTTTTTTTTTAATCCATTCTGCCACTCTCTGTCTTTTGCTTGGGACATATAGACCATTTACGTCTAAGGTTATTACTGAAAACAAAGTTTCTACCTCACTCATTTTGCTATTTGTTTTTTTGAGTGTTCATATCTTCTTTGTTTTTTTATTCTGATTTTTCTGTTTTTGTTTATATTTGGCTGCTTTTTATGATGAGCCTTTTTGCTTTGTCCTTCTTTTGTTCCAAATGTTTCTTCTTAGTTATTTCTTAGTGGTTACCACATGTTACATTACACAACTTAACAATTGCAACAATATTTAACATATGAATAACTGTTAACACCCAACCTTAACAATCTTAACCCAACCTTGAATTCCTCATATGCTCTTCCCTCCCCCATTTCTGTGGGTGGATTTCTTTTGACATCAGTATACAACCTATATTTGATAAGTTTACTCTGTACTTATTTCTTAGAAACTTGATGTTGTATTGTTTACGGGATTCAATTATTGAGTTTATTCACTGAAAATATCATATACTTGGTCCTTATAATTGCCTGTGTTGTTGCATTTTTTGGAGTTTTTTTTTTTTGTGTGTGTATAGGTAACAAGTATTTATTTAACAGTCTTGCCTTTCCAGTTGAAGTACTCCCTTGAGTAATATTTGCCGAGCTGGTCTGGTAGTGGCAAATTTTCAGAGCTTCTGTTTGTTTGGGAATGTCTTGATTTCCCCCTCATTTTTGAATGACAACTTTGCTGGGTAAAGAATTCTTGGCTGGTGATTATTTTGGCTCAGTATTTTATATATGTCATTCCATTGTCTTCTGGCCTTCAGAGCTTCGGGGGAGAAATCCGAACTGATTCTTATGAAAGACCCTGGGTAAGTTATATTGCATTTTTCTCTTGATGCTTTCAGAATTCTGTCCTTGTCTTTGTTTTTCAAGAATTTTATTAGGATATGTCGCAGAGTTGATCTTTTTGTGTCTCTTCTGATATGAGTTCATGTAAGCTTCCTGTATTTGCAGGCTTGTTTCTCTGTTCAGATCTGGGAAACTCTCTGATTATCTCTTGGAATATTGTTTCTGTGGCTTTATTGTTGTCACGGTGCTCTGGGATTCCAATAATTTTAATGTTAGATTTCTTAACTGAATCCCATATTTCCTTTTGGGTTTGTTTGCTTTTCCTTTTCTTTTCTCTTGTTTCTCTTGAGACTTGATAAGTTCAGTTATTTTGTCTTCTAGTTCGTTTATTCTATATTCTGTCTGTTCAAATCTATTGTTTAGTGTTTCTCTTGTTTTTTCTAATTCAGTTGCTTTATTCTTCAGTTCCAGTAAATCTCTGGGTTTTGTTTATGTTTTCAGTTTTCTTGCTGAGTCTCTCATTTTGTTCCTCCATTTGTTTCCTAATCTCTGCTACTTTATTTTCTGTGTGATTTTTGCTTTCATTAAATGTATTTAGCACCATAGCTTGAAAATTATCAATTCTTTGCATTAGTCTTGCCTCCACAGGAAAAATTTCCTCTTCTTCATGTTTTGATTTTGATTGATCCTTCTTCTCTAGTGATTCTGTGTGTCTTTTACTGTTGTTTGTTGAACTTGGATCATTTTGTTACTTTTTTTTTTACTTTAAAGTTTGTATTCTGGTTTTTGTGGGAAGTTTTTCTGATTGGGTGCCCTGGTGGTGCAGTGGCCAAGCACCTGGCTGCTAACTGAAAGGCTGGGGCCCACACCCACCAGCTGCTCCATGGGAGAAAGATGCGACAGCCCATCTCCTCAAATACTCAGAGCCCTGAGAACCCCACTTGGAGCCCTGGGGCAGCTCCACTCCCATCCCACAGGGTCGCTATGAGTCAGAAGCAACCTGCATCAGTGGGCTTGGTATCTTCTCCTGAGAACCACTAGACAGCCCTCTTATCCTTAGGTGTTTTTCAGTGCTGATTCAGTTCTGGATGCTTGATCTCTAGAATTCAATATGCATGTGCAGGAAGGAGGTAGGTTTATCTGGCCACATGCTCGGATATAAGCTGTAGAACTTGACTTTCTTGAGGCAAAGATGGAGGGATCTCTGTATCTTTCCCTTATGGTGCTCTTTCACAGGCTCTCGCACAGTGTTCTGCTGTGGGCAAGGAACTAGCTGTTTCCTTCTGTGTCACTGTCTGTCTGAAGTATTCCCCTCACCCTGCTTCCCTTGCTGTTCCTCCCAGTCTTAGTGCCCATCTATCTCGGGCCTCAGCGAGATTCAACAGCACTCTCTCACAGCATCACAGTCTCCCTTAGCCTCTTCCCAATTGTGCAGTCCATGAATTCACATGGCCAACCTGTGCTGCCTTAAAAAATCAGACTGTACCATCCTCAAATTAGTTCCCCTTGTGTGTTCCCTGTTTGGGGTGTTGTCCCAAAATGGCTGCAGTCAGTGAGTTCTCAGTGAGTTTCTCCCACCTTCTGTGCCATCCCTGTTCCTCCTCTCCCCAGCTTCTGGACTCAGCCCAACTCTCCAACACCTCAGCTGCCCTCCAGAGTTCTGAGGTCTCAGTCTGTGCTTGTTTTCATTCAACGTTCGGTGGGTTACTTGCTGAGGGAGTAAATAGGGGCACCCACTCACTTCGCCATCTTGCTCTGCCTCCTCCCATGATCTGTGTAGTTTGATGGAGAGCCAATGAGAGAGTTTCTAAGTAAGTAATAGATAAAATGGAATTTCAGGGGTGGTAATTGAACTATGCAAGAGCACGTGACTTTTCAGCATGTTAGACTTATTTACCAGCAGACCTATTGCTAGCCATCCTTACCATCTATGAAATCAAATCCTTTAACAATCTCTGCCAAGCAACTGTAAATTTCACAGTTACTAAAAAAGGTCGATTAACCTGCTGTGAGCTACTGTGTATAGCTCAGTCACTACAGTGATAGTAAGCAATCTGTAACTTATGTTGGCATTTCTTGTACAAATCAGTAAGATTTACCTTTATATATGTGTCCTATATTTGGAGGGGTTCAGTTGGGTTTCAAACTGTCTTTTCCTAATTCATAGATATCTGTGAAATAGCTTATTCTTATAATCTCAGGAATTTATTTTTTGTTGAGAGTGGCTAGTTTAAAGACTCTCTGGATATAAATGCCAATATTTTACCATTCTACTCTTCTATCAGAGGTAGACAGAGTAGACCTTACAAAAACAATGGGAAATTACTTTTTAAACTAAATCTGGCAAAATAATTACTCAGCCTGGGAAATGATTTATTTTGAAATGCAAGCAGAAAATTTTGGAATTTGAATAAGGGTCCTATGAAAAAATTTAAAGTGGTACTAGTTTATTTATAAGCATCAGTTAAAATAGTATATAGGAAGGCATTAAAAATCTTTTTCTAACAGAATTTGGACAATTTATGGTATTCTTTGTGAAATTGGGAAAATCTATGGTACCTTTTGTGAAACACAGATGTCAGTAAATGGTTGCCTTCTAGTTTGGGTTGACAATTGTCTTTCATTATGTATTATTTGCAAATAATGTTCAGATATCTAAATTGCAATTTGTTTTTTGCAGTCAGAAGGCCTCTTCACTACCTCCTATTGTAGGATCCAGAAAGTCTAAAGGGAGTGTAAGTATCAGATGGTTTACTCATTAATGTTCTATATTTCTGTATGATGCAGAGAGAGCTGTCCTTAGGGTTTCAATTAAATTTGAAGAAATAAAACATAGCTGCCTAGTGGTGTATAAGTAATTATGTGAAACAACAGTAGCACTTTAGTGTTACAATTAAGGTCCGAAAAAGAGAGCTAACATTTTTAAAATGTGGATTTCAACATAGATTTCTTTTTCATTGTATATAGACCTGATTTACTTTATATTATGGTTGAAAGCTAGTCCATAATACATGCAAATATAGGACATACTATATTTATTAGGTCATGTACGTGATCTGTCCATCTTATTGTATATCTATGACAAAGTTTAAAAAAGATTTGGTAAGAAAATGATAATCCTCAGTTACATTTCTCAAAAGTTTAAGAATCATTCTAAATATTATGTTCCCCATCAGAATCTTTTCCATCCATCATTCATTTATTTATTCATTAATTCAGCAAACATGTATTAAATGACTGTTATATGGGAGAAGGCAATGGTGGTTCAGTGCAAGGATTCTTGCCTTTCATGTGAGAGACCTAGATTTGATTCTTGGTCGGTGTGCCTCAAATGTAGCCACCACTTTTCTGTCTGTAGAAGCTTGTGTGTTGCTTAGATGCTGAGCAGATTTCAGTGGACCTTTCAGACTAAGACAGACTACGAAGAAGGGTCTGGAGATCTACTTCCAAAAATCAGCCAATGGTTTGATCTCATTGTATATGGGGTTGTCATGACATGAGTTGGGGGCTGACTTGACTGCAGCTAATAACAACAATGTTATGTGGAACCTACGACAGGCTGTTAGGTAATTTCTTAACCTATTTGTTTTTTTTTTTAATTTTTTTTTATTGTACTTTAGATGAAGGTTTGCAGAACAAATAGTTTCTCATTAAACAGTACACATATTGTTTTATGACAATGGTTAACCCCATGACATGTCAACACTGTCGCTTCTCAAACTTGGGTTCTCTATTACCAGGTTTCCTGTCCCCTCCTGCGTTCTAGTCCTTGTCCTGGACTGTTGTGCCCCATTAGCCTCATTTTGTTTTATGAGGCTGTCTAATCTTTGGCTGGAGGGTGAACCTTGGGAGTGACTTCATTACTGAGCTGAAAGGGTATCTGGGGGCCATACTCTCAGAGTTTCTCCAGTCTCTGTCAGGCCAGGAAGTCTGGGCTTTTTTTCTGAGTTAGAATTTTCTTCTACATTTTTCTCCAGCTCTGTCGGGGACCCTCTGTTGTGATCCCTATCAGAGCAGTCAGTGGTGGTAGCTGGGCACCATCTGGTTGTACTGGACTCAGTCTGGTGGAAGCTGTGGTAGTTGTGGTCCATTAGTCCTTTGGACTAATCTTTTCCTTGTTTCTTGTTTTCTTCATTCTCCCTTGCTCCTGAAGTGGTGAGACCAGGGGAGTATCTTAGATGGCTGCTCACAGGCTTTTAAGACCCCAGACACTACTCACCAATTAACCTATTTGTAATTTAAGCCTATACCCCATCATGAAGATGAGTTTCATGTCATGCTGATGTATTGCTTTGACAGGTTTTTCTGTCTAAGACTTTCTTTCTACCCTCGGATTGAATTACCTGACTAGTCCTGATAAAACCTGATTGACATATCTGCCGTCGCTGTGAATTAACTAAATCAGCGCTTACTTTGTAAAATAAGTGATGATTGGGCAATAATACTGTCTCCTACTGATGCTTTAGATATCTCCTGCCCCTTTTTTGTTAGTTATATCATGTAAAATTCTTAAAACAAGAAAAATAATTTTGGATGAATAGGTAGTGCTGAACTCGGCATAGCAAAGATCAGATGTCTACTACCCATTAATTTGCTGAGAGTATTGTGCTATTTATGATATATCTCTTGCCCTCAAGAAGCTTGCAATCTACTTGAGATAGAGAACAAGCTTGAAAAGATACTAAGATAAAGCTAACACCAAATATGTGGTGAGATTAATCAACATGAGAAAGTGAGAGAGAGAGAAAAAGAATCAATGTGAGTTGGAAAAAGTTCAAGGAGGAAGTTGAATTTAAGCTATGCCTTAAGAATCAAGTAAAGTTAGGTGAGGGGAAAGGGTTTTCCAATAGAAGGGATGGTGTGTGGAAGGCAGCAAAGATTCTCATGTGGAGAATCAATAACACTGGCTGATATTTAGTGAATACTTGAGGGCTCAAAACTATGCCACACTCTTTACAGATGTGATTTATTTAATCCTTACTCCACAGAGAAGGTACTGTTGTTACCCGCATTTTAAAAACAAGAAAACGAAGCACAAATGGTAGAAGTAACACATTCAAAGCCCCTGTATCAAGCAAGTGGCTGGGGAGGGGGAAGGATCAAGCTTGGAGGGGGACAGTGAATTCCTCAGGCTGATAGAACCAAGGGTCCATCCATGGTATGGTGGATGATGAGCTTGAACTGGTAGATGTTAGCCATTTGTAGATGGCCTTGAATGAGGAGTCTAGTCTTTATCATTGAGTAGAGGGCAGCTCACAGGGTTTCTGAGAGGTGAAAATATTAATTGGAGTTGATTTCAGAAAGGTCAGATCTTTTATGTGGAGAAGGATTAAATGTGGAGAGAGGCCATTGATAAGATGTCAAGTATGAGGTGATTGCAATAGCCTGATTATGAGAGTCTAGGCTAGAGAGGTGGCAGAAGTAGCAGTAAGTGATTGTTGTTGATGAAGAAACAACAGACTTTGTTGGTGATTGGATACATAGGGTTAATGGAGAGATTTGCACCAAAGATAACTGCAGGCTTTCGAGCTTGGATGCCTGAGAAAAATGGTGGTGCTGTGGTCAAAAAGAAGGTGGTGTTGGCATTGTTGTTTGCTGTCCAGTCAATTCCGACTCATGTGTACAGAGTAGAACTTTGCTCCACAGGGTTTTCAAGGCTGTGACCTTTTGGAAGCAGATCTCCAGGCCCATCTTCTGAGGTTCCTTTGCGTGGGTTCAAACCACCAACCTTTCAGCTAGTAATTGAGTGGCTAGTAGTTGAGCACTTAACCATTTATCCCATCTAGGCACTCCTAAAAAGAGGGCAGTCAAAGGAAATAGTGACCTGCTTAATTTTGAATGTATTGAGTTGAAAGTGTCCAGCAAGTAGTTGTAAAAGGCAGAGATTGGAGCCTGAAGAGGACTTGAGGGCCAGAGATTTAGACATGTGAGTTCATCCACAGAATGGTCATAGGAAGAGCAAAGATGGTGTCTAGTTCATTGTTGTATCTCTCTCAGGCCTCACCCCTACTGATTGAATGAGGTGGGTGAGCGGGAGCCCAGACAGAGAGAGTGCAGAGAGAACCACAAGGAGTAGGCTTGAGGCAGCCTAACTTCTCGGAGTATGGAGAGGAAGAGGAGTGAGAAAAGTGTTCCAGTAGCTGAAAAATATATTTAGCCATTATAAAGCTAAATAAAACCAATGAATTAAGGGTTTGGAAATTGTATTTTGTACTCTTGTTCTTCTTCAAGACTTTGTAGAGGAATCTGTTCTGTGTGCCATGCAAACATTAGCTTGTTAATTCTTACAGGGTAGCTCATGTAAGGGTAGTGGTTACCGAGGGACCCGGTGTAGTTGAATAACCGATCCAAATTCACAGCAGAAGTCAATATCAGAACAGAGAGCACAACTCAACTCTTTGAATTCACAATTACTGAATGGTGGAATTATGTGTCTATAGTTGTAAAATTTGGAAAATTTAAATTTCTCATTAAAAATATGTAACATGTATCCTGCTTTAAAATGCATGTGCATGTACACACATGCAATTTTATTTCTTGCTCAATCATTTGAAAGTTTTTTTTTTTTTTTTTTAAAGAATTTGTACACTGAAGACTGGTTCATCTAATGACAAATGATTGAGTTTTCCATGTGCCTGACATGGTAGTAGGCCCCAGGGAGACAGTGATGTGCAGATAGACATGATGCTCAGTTTTATGGACCTCATGGTCCACTTGGGGACATGGACATTAAACAAATAATTCCACAAATAAATATATAGTTATAATGTGTGATAAGAATGATATAAAGGTAAAGTAATACGAGACAGTGAAAGGACAACTGATATAGATAGATGTGTCAGGAAAGGCCTCTTAGAGGAAGTAGAGTTTAAACAGAGACTCAGCATTATAAAATATATTTCCATCTCATAAAAAACAAAGACTTAAGGTTATAAAATATATTTCCATGATATGATTTATAAAAATAAAGTGATAGCAGACTCTGTCTTTCTGCAGTGCTCCCACAGTATTCTGTTTATCCATGCATCCATGCATCCATGCATCCATCCATCCACCCACCCATCCACCCATCCACCC